GGATGGCGTTCTTCTACCCCGTCTAATCATTGGATTGGATCAAAGGGGCCTGGTCAGGAGTTATATTGCTTTTAAGGCGTTTGGTGTATCTCGATACCAGGCAAAACCTGCCATAGAAGGCTTAGATAGTCAATTGAATCCCTACACACTATACTACTCTGTCGTAATGGTTGTGAAAGTGCTGGCAAGAAATTGATCGTACTTAAAGCTTGAAAACAACATGTTGATCATGGCTTGAATTTTCTATTATACAAAAATGGTAGGATCTTTTGGTTTTATACACATAAATCTGTTATACATAATCAATCATTCAAACATCTGCCTCCTCAACCTCTCTGCCCGCTTCTTAGCCATTTGCTTGCGGTTCTCTGCTGTGAGTGTCCAGGTCTTTTCCCCATGATGATTCTCATGCGAGTATGGTATCTTGACCCTCGGCTTCTCACCGTGAACCCTCTGATCGTAGCGATCCCAGAACGCGTTCCAGTAGCTGAACCGTTCTCGGGCGACCCGATCGTCTGGTTGCTCAGACCCCATTGCCTTTGCCTCGATTGTGATGTTGCCTGATGGATTGGGAACATCGAGTGCTTGGTCTAGCTCAAAGTGCGCATTGCGTCGAGAATGCCATAAAGCGGCATACCGTCGAACTCTGCTGTGCAGCATTTCCTTCCATGTCTTGTTGTCAATGTCCCTCAGGGGCTTAGACGCCACTCCAAGGTTCTGCTCACGCTTCGTCTCCTTCTGCAACTCTCGGAGCAGGGCCTCCTTAACCTTCAGTAGAGCATGGTAAGACAGACTCTGAAGCACTTTGTCGAGTTCACCAGGCGAAACCTCTTTACCGTTTACGAGATATGCCGTAGGCATCGACTGAATCTCTGATGTGACAAAAGCATGGTGCAGACGTGGACACTTCTCCTCAAAAGTTGATAGCACGCGAGAGACGTCTGGAGACCAGGCTGCCATCTTACGCATCTCTATCCACTTGTGCTGCAGACGGTAGAGGAGACTGTTGGGTGGTTTCAAGGTACGGGTATTTTGCATAATGAGCGCATTGCGCCGAGGGGGTGCCCAGCCTTGCCACCCTGGCATGAGCATCTTCTCGCACCAGTACGCGGCACGCTCAAATCTGCCCATGTCAGAAAGATCACGGATAACGCGTACCCAGTTTTGCCGGGTCAGCTTGAAACCAGCATCCGTAACCTTGTCGACGGTCTTGCTGAGAAGGTCTGGTTCGATCATCTTCTTGAATGTCGTTGTCACTGTGTCCACAGCACGAGACAGAGAGTATTCGGTACCAGTCAAAATGCCACCACCTGAGCGTTTCCGGCTGGATGCAAAGGCACTTTCCCATGTCTTGTCCCACAGCGAAATGGCCTCACGGTACCTCTCATCGTAGTTAAGCGCGCGTATCAAAGAGGCCATGATATCAGGAGGAAACTGTTTGTTCTTGAACTGGGGGAAGACTTCAACGAATAAACCCATCAATTCTTCAACGGAACCAAAGTCTCGAAGTTCGGTAAGTAGAGTGATCGCTCGACCAAGGAACTTAGTTTCCGCTTTAAGTCTTGCAAGGTTGCTAGAGTCGGTCGCTGCAATCTCCTCGTCCGGCACGGACTCCTCTGATGTTTTCGCTGCCGCAGCAGCCTTTTCAAAATATGCGACAAATTCCTTGGCCAACTTCTGGGTTCGCTCAACACCAGGTTTCCTCTTTACGGCAGCGGCAACGAGAGCAACCCAAGTACTGAAGGTAACAGGCAAATCTGACTTTTGCATACGACGGAAAAGACTTTCAACAAGCTCGTACTCTCCATTGCGAGCAGCTGCAGCCATAATGGTAGCAAAATGCGCAGGGGTGACAAGGAACAGCTTCTCCTCAACACCACGCTTCAGTAAATTATAGGCGGGATGAATTTGGTTGACTCGGATAAGCGCCTGGAGAAGAAAGGTGTATGTGTTGTCATCCCATTCCACACCAAATTCTCTCATGCGCTTGAGTAGTTCATAAACCTTGGTGAGATTCCCCTCGACGCCGTTGAAGTTGATAAGCTGGTTCCAAATAGCTTCGGATATGAGCTTACGATGGGTCAGCTCAATGCAAAGGCTCTCGGCCTCGGAAAGAAGACCATTCTGGCAGTATGCCACCACCAGAGACAGGCCCATTTCTATAGAGATGGGCACCTCAGCTTGCTGTGATTTGGTGAATAATTCCAGGGTAGTCTCCAAATCACCCCTTTTAGCAGCCATGGCCATGGCGTGTGCATAGGTGTATGCGTCCGGCTCATGCTTTTCTGCGATGTCATCGAACAGTTTCATGACGGCATCATAGTCAGTGGTCCTCAGGTGAGCCTTGAGATATGTGTTCCAAGCGTCGAGGTCCGGCTCAACCAGGTATTCATCGGTCATTTTCTCCATCTCTTTCTTTGTATTCTCAACATCTCCAAGCTGAGCATAAACGTTTATTGTGCTTCGGAATCCACGGGGGGACTGAAGCACTTCTGGAAATTCTTCCACATACTTGGGCCATAACTCTTTAACGGCTCGCACATCGCCCCTCTCTGCATAGTATTTGAGGTACTTTTCATATCCCCATTGGTTGAGCCCGCCTTTGTAACGAATCCAGTCGTCTTTTATTTCTTCAAGTCTGGCCGACCTCTTTGGGAAGCAAATCTTGAACATGCCACGCAAGACAGTTATCGCAGGCTGTGCATCTGGCAGTTGCCTAAAATTCTGGTAAATAGGAATAAGACGTTCCATGGTAACCCGACTCTCCTGTTTTACCATCCAGCGATCGATCATGGTGTTGAGGTACGTGTTGTATGCATTTCGATCCTTCAGAGTCTCAAGAATAACCACCGCATGCCTGGGGCGGCACGGTTCTCGTAATGCCATGTTGGCAAAGAACTTGCGGAAAGAGGACAAGGCGAGCGAGGCAACGGGGTCTTCCCTGATTTTCTTAAACTGCTCTGCGCCTTCGCCAACCAGATAGGCTCGAAAGCTGAAGTAGTGAGCTCCTTGTGCAGGAAGAGACGCAAGCTGTTGAAGTCGTGCTAAATCCGGGGCCAGCGCATCGGGCCTTTTCTTGATGCGGTCCTTGTAGAATGCAATCCATACTTCCAAAGCTGCCGCCCATTTTTTCGAGTTGATCGCATCCGCCATCAAGTATTCAAGTCCGTGGTTCAGCCCTTTTGTCTCCAATCCTGTCTTGAAGCACTCCACAGCCGAAGGAAGATCCCCGGACCGTAGAAGCAGGATAATTCCAGCAGTCAAGGTGTCATTATCCCATGACTTTGGCGGGATTTGGCGGAATATTGAGAGGGCCCTTCCTGTCTCAACGATGCTGTGGGAGCGAGACAGATACTGTACTACCTGGCCACGCAGGAAACTTCTTTGGTCATTGTCTAGCAACTGGTACTGGTCCCAAACATCTTGAAAATGGCCACCCTTTCCGTCCAATATCTGTCGGAGTTTCCGTAATTGCTGCACCTCTGGCCCAGCTTGGGAGCTCACCGTTGGCTTTCCACCAGGAAATAAAGTCGGGTCCTCCGCTATGTCGGCTATCTCATAACGTTGTGCCGTCCCGCGCGATCGGCCAGGTTGATTAGGAGTCGTTGTTTCGGTCTTTTCGTTATTTTCGTCTGCTTCATTCGTATCGGTCGTATTCGGCGGTATTATCGATGAGTATGCTCGTCTTGTTGGAACGATTGCTGTCCTTTGCGCATACTGAGAGGTGGGTAGTTCAGGGTAGAGATTGCGTAACAGAGGAAGAGTCGATTTTGGGTAAAGGAAGTCGAGGACCAAGACTGAAGCAAGTAGATTTGACTGTAATTGCTTTGTCTTTGGTTCGGGGGTGGTAGTTTGAGCAGTTCTCACAGAGCCTGGCAAGGAACTGGAAAGGTCGATAGCGGCGGCTCCATGTTGCCAAAAGGCTGTATGTAATCGTCGAGTTCGAATCGAAGTCTTGTGAAATACACGCTGGAGACTGCGCGACTCCAGATTCGCAGCTGTTCGCTCGAGCATTGAAGTCAAGGAGATGCTTTGTATTATGTCGAAAGGTCAAGGATAGACGTTGCTCATGCTTGGTGGCAAGTAGACGAAAGGACGGATTCCAATGACAAAAGCTGAGAAGCAGAAACCCGAATTGGAGTACCTCGAAAGTCGAACTGATAAGGAGCGGTCGTATTATACACACGGCAGGGCCGTAGAAGTGAGAAAGAAAAGCTCTATCGAATACCGTAAATCAACAAATACTCCAATCGCTATGTACAGAAAAAAAAAAGTTCTAGCTCGGCCCTCACAAAGATTGAAGTCGTTAACATCAGCCGATATCCACCATTGAAAATCGCCTAGGGATGTTTTCTGACCAATGAAATGATCTAGATGGCAGTTAGCGGGGTCCGCCGTTTTACCTTCAAGGCTTTACAATCATCATCGAGTCTAGAAATTGTGGTTCACTGGAGGACCTTTTACTGGTGCCTCAGTAATAACACAGTTGAACTCATAAAATATCAGCACTTTGTTTAGAAGACTTCGGAAATATCAAGTGCAGTGGCAAAGATTAACACATTCAGAGTACTCATGGTACTATGGATCACTGGGCGTTTGTTTCAATATTCGTCAATTTATTCTGGTGGATGTCGATCCAGGATATCTTTTTGCTCTCTCATACAAGTAAAAGCATCATACAAAATCTCATAGCGCCGCCCTCTTATCCATATATACGGCGATTTCCAACAGATACAATTTCCCAAAAATGAAAAACACCCAGTGGAACCAATATCATGACACAATCTGGTAACTCCGAGATAACCAGCTCTCAGCGCAATAGAACCCAGAAAAAGAAACCAAAGACGGTGCGGTCAGTATCCGGTCATCGTACATAAAAGAATTAAGAATATGGGGTATCGGTCTGGTTTCCGTTTTTTGTGTCTTTGTACACCCACTCAAGGGCGACAAGACATCAGTAGTTGAAGGCAAATGATGATATAGACAAAGCAATATCGCTTTTATGCGTTGGACTTGGCCTCGTCTGTTGTGTCAGAAGATGAGGCTCGGACCTCGTTCCGTAGTCCTGAAAACCCATCAGTGGAATGCTGAGCTGAGAGCTCCATCTCCAACCGAGGGCCCCGGCTCTGGCTCCGAGTTCGCTGCCTTCGTCGAACTGGTCTATGCTGTTGGAGTTGCTGCTCGACAGGAGACGCAACACGGGAAGGACAATGTTCTCGGCGGAGGCGGGCATGGAGAAGTCGACGTCTTGTGGGAGATGGCACTCTTCTAGGTGAGGATGGTCGAGATGCGTAGCTCAGAGCTGGGGAAGCAGCACGGCGGCGAGAGCGGCCTCGCAAGTTGCTGGACTCGTCTGTTGGAGCAGCTCGGAATGAGCGGACGCTTCCTCGGGTCATGCTTCGTTCTCTCTTACGGCCTCGTAGGACATCGTGGTCGGCATTAGGGGAAACGATAGCTGGCGGCTCAGCGTAGGCTGAAGAGCCGGGTGCGACTCGAGCAGTCATGTTGTGCTTTCTTTGCCGTGGTAAGTGATGGGAGTTGGAGTTGGGTGGTTGTGAAACCGCAGATAAGTCAAGGCAAGATAAGGTAGATAAGTAGTCAAGTTGTATGTAGAAGATAAAGAACAGAAACGAGAATATCAAGGTAGCAACGAAGGTGTCAAGTCAACAAGCCAACTTTTGTGGTGTTTGTGGTCACTTGAGCAACGACTGAGTGGTCAAATGCGAGGAGACGTGGCAGGGATGAGCATATAAGTCAAGGTCAGTTTTTTGTTTTTGCTTGGACAGTTGATCAAGAAGGTGAGGGAGGTAGAGGGCCTCACTCGGGATTTATAAATAGTTAGGGATTACCAAGGAGAAAAAGGATGCAAAAGGGGGACAAACACCTCGGGAATGGGAGTGTAGTTCCAAGGGATTGAAACCTTGAAGGTCCAAGGGATGGACCCGATGGTGGGTTAGACTCAGTTAGAGGGTGTAGCGTAGCGTAGTGAGGTAGCTAGACGCTAGGGAGTGTTAGTGAAGTGTGGGGTGCGGCATTGACATCCGGAGATGGCCCCCGTTGTTTGACATGGAACTTGCAGGCAAAAACGGAAAATGGACTTGGGGATGCGTCCCATCTCATGGTTTGTCCGCTCAATCGTCTGATGGAATGGTCACTTTTTTCTGCACTCGCTTACGAATAACGACCCCTGAAACGCTGTATTTTGTTTGTTTTGTTTTGTTTTGTTTGTTTGTTTGTTTATCTGCTGCTGCAGTCTAATGCTTGTCAAGTACCTACCTACCTATGCAAAGCAATGACAATATTGTATCATAATACTTCATGCTATAGTATAACTAAGCACTCACTACCTTTACTTCATACAGTATGCTGATACTACAGCTGAACAGACGCAGTTATGTACTGATAAGCTGATGGTGTTACAGACATGATCGGCCTCACGTTGGCGCTGAACTCTGTTGCTTAGCCTCACATCGTAGGATCGAACCTTGAAGAGCAGCATCTTGTTCGCACCAGGAGGCGTCAAGGTGTCTTCCATTGCTTGCTTTCCCCGCGCGGAGCAGGCCGTTGGGCAGACTGCTACGCTACCTTGCCTTTGCAGTGTAACAATCTATCCCTAGGTGTATCGGTATGACTGGACTGGATTGGCTTGGCCATCCCTCCAAGACAATTCGTCAATAGAAGCCATACGCAACTGGTATGGAAAGGCTTCACTCCCAACCCCAACCCCAGACGCAGAAGCTTGAAGCTAGACGATCATAGCCGAACTAGAGCTGACGAAACATGACGGTGCATATCATGACGTACAGGCCGACGTATCAGCTCTGATGTTATCTGTGCCTGTATCATTGTCCAGAAGCTGATTGCGAGGTTACAATTACAAAGATGTCTGGCCCGAATCAGCAACTTGGTCGTCAAATATTGCATGCAGCTCATGAGATAATGGCCTGCAATTGCCTTTTTGTAACCGTCATCATCAGCAGTTTAGCCATGTGTTTTCCAAGGTTGGCGTGCTTGTATAAACCCTCCATCACAAGTTGCACGCGATCAAAGGAGTTTTGTTAGCGCCCAGGCACTCCAATGCTACCAACCAACCCAGCCCAGCCCATTCTCGTTAGTTTTAGGTACAGTACGAATGTACTGGCTTCCATTCTTTTTAGATTGCCGGCTTCGCCTCCAAGTGGTGGCGCTGTCGAAGATTCCTTGCGTCAATCATTTCAGTTCGTAGATATTCTTAAACACATCCGTCAAACGAAAATCCCCCCAAGAACCTTGGCTTGTTCCGAGCAAGGAGTGATGCAGATATGTGAGGTCACACTAGGGCCGAGACTATTCCACTGATGCTGTACAACGCTCTTTGGTTGTGGGAAGTTTAAAGGAGGAAGGGCAAAGTAAATTCCGTTTCTGCTGTTACGGGAAACGGAATGGGAATTGTGAGGAGTAACTTATGTTAGACTCTCGGTTTGATTCTCCGACAATACGATAAACTCTACTGCATTGTTGGTTAGGCCAGATAACTCCATAGGACGTGATCTTTTGTTCGGCGGACTCAAATGTCCGTGAGGCCGTTCCTCCGTATTATCATCCGGACACTTCGGCCCCCAATATTTGTTATTGGCACTTGAAGAGATAAATAAAGAGAGGAGGTGAGCATGAAGAGATCCAATGCAAAGAAAATAACAACTTCCGCATTTGTTAATAAGAAAACATGTTAAGTTCATGCCCGTTCCTCAACCAAAAAGATCATCATCACTAAAAACCAATCGATCTCAACTCCCTTCCGGGCCTTGGTTAGGTCCGGCATCCGCTCAGGGGTCAGTATCCACCAATCACTTCCGGCCCCAGTTCCCAAGCCCGGGCTTTACTGGCTGTGGAGGCTGCTACTGTCAACTGGAGTTTAGTCTTTGGCTGGTTTTTGGCCTGTCACAAGCTTTGGATGGATGATGAGCTCTCGTCATGTCCACAACCTGGAACCTCAAACATTGGATCTAGGCACACATCGTCATTCTGTAACCAGCTTCGTTTTGGTTGTCACTGCCAACAAAAAGCCCCCCAACGCCTTACAGATACTTGTTGCTGATTCGACTCTTTTCTCTTCTTGATACTGCCCTTTTTTTTTTCACCTTCTCTTCACTACTTCCTTCTTGGTAAACTACTACTCCTTTTTCTCGAATAATAACAACATCCATTTATAATCTTATCCCTCCACCCCCTTTCAACCTAAATCAACACGCGTCACGATCGAGTAACCGACCGAATTCTCCATCAGCGAACCCTAATCCTAAGAGTTCGACCTCTACCTAGGGAATGGCCTTGAAAACATTCTAATTCCGCCCCGACCACTCTCTCCATCTTCATCCGCCTTATTCCCATCCGTCGACGCCAACATGCCGCGATCACGGCCCGCAACAACAGGCTATGAACGCCTCGCACAGGCCGACGACATCAGCGACGACTCAGATGAGGATCCCCTCTCCCAATCCTACGCATCTCTACAGCCCGCGGCTGCTCCACGATATGCCCCCGTAACTCAACCGCGCCATCGTTCTGGCATGGCCAGTCCCAAATCATTTGCCTCGTCATCGCAACCCAAATTTCGCCATCGTTCAGGAAGCAGCGCCGGTGTTGACCTCAAGGCCATCAATGCTCGTCTGGAGCGATGGGCAGACGAGATCGCTTCGCGCTTCAAGCGCAAGGGGAAGAATCAGCAAGGCGAAGAGGAGCGCCTCGAAATTCACTATTCTGTCTTCCAGCCTCCCGAGGGTGTTCGACCGGTGACCGCTGAGAGTATTGCGGCACCGCAGGAAGGCGTCATGACCAGAGCAGAGTTTGAAACTATCGTGGAAAGCGTACGAAGTGCTATTCGGCAAGAAATCCACCCGAGTATGATTTCTCAAGGCAGTTCTGGTAGTTACTTTGCCCGAAATCCTGATGGCAAGATTGTCGGTGTCTTTAAACCCAAGGACGAGGAGCCATACGCCGCAGGAAACCCCAAATGGAACAAATGGATTCACAGAAACTTGTTCCCTTGCTGCTTTGGAAGAGCCTGGTATGTCACCATCGTGAAGGCTTGCGCTGTCATTGCTAATGTTTCTGCAGTCTTATTCCTAATCTCTCGTATGTCAGCGAAGCAGCTGCCTACGTACTCGATTGCCAACTACGAACACATCTCGTTCCATACACAGACGTTGTATGGCTTGCTTCCAAATCCTTCCATTATCCATTCTGGGATCGCCGCAAGTTCCATCGCAAGAAGAAGCCTCTCCCCGCGAAGCCCGGGAGCTTCCAGGTCTTCCTCAAGGGTTTCAAGGATGCCAACGTGTTCCTTCGTGAGCATCCTTGGCCGGATCAATACTGGTCAGGATTCCGTACAAACGATGGCCAGAGTAAGAAGAAGAGGAGATGGACGGAGAGCTGCCGGCCATCGGGAAACGCCTCGCCGAATGATGGATACAATAGCGACGACGAAGAAGCTGCCCAAGCCGCGAATCTTTTGGGTCCTGATAACTTCATATGGACCGACAACTTGAAAGAATCTCTGCGAGAAGAGCTTGAGAAGCTGGTCATTCTTGACTACATCATGCGAAATACAGATCGTGGTCTGGACAATTGGATGATCAAGGTTGATTGGGAGACAGGCAAGGCCTCGATAGCATCAGACCCCATCCAAATGAACATGGAACCAGTCGCTGAGGAAGAGGGCCCTCGACCTGTTGATCTTTCACAACAAGGACCTCGTGCTACGAGGGCGTCATATCCTTATAAGACACAAAGACCTATGAGCGCCTCAAGCCGACAGCCAGCAGGAAACGAGCCAGCAATTACCATTGGAGCTATTGACAACTCACTTTCATGGCCCTGGAAACACCCCGATGCTTGGAGAAGGTAAGTACATATATCAACGCTGTGAGAGTCATGCTAATTTGTGTTGTCAGTTTCCCCTTTGGCTGGCTTTTCCTCCCTGTCGATCTCATCGGAAGGCCATTTTCTCAAAAGACACGGGATCACTTTTTACCGTTGTTGACTTCCACATCATGGTGGACGCAGACGATTCTTGCCCTCAAGAGGGTGTTCCAAATGGATGTTGATTTCCAGGAACGCATGTTTGCTAAGCAAGTCGCCGTAATGAAGGGTCAGGCCTGGAACGTCGTTGAGACACTCAAGACTCCTGATCATGGCCCTCTTGAACTGACCCGCCGAGCGAGAGTTTGCGTCTGGGATGATCTAGTTGACGTGCCTGTTGCTGTTCCTATGCGTAATACGTCCTCGGAAGTCCGCCGCAACCCCCACGTTCGTCAATCCATGGATGAGGCCGACATTGCTAGTTCGGCTCCGACCGGCAATCCTCCAATCGAGGACCTTCTCGGTCTGGCCAGTGCACCCGCCGATATGCCTCATCCAGGCAGATTCGAGCTCTCATCTCCGACAGGCGAGACTGCTCAGTCACCAGATGAGGTGCCCCCAAGCGAACCCAACCTCCTGGCACCAGCGGGGCACCAACAAAACG